AGGATGACACAAGTTCAAATATCATCCCAATTCAATGATATTGACCTTAACATAGAATTTATATTATAAATATTATAATAGATTAGAAAACTTTGCAAAAAAGGTGCTAAAAATCCCATCGTTAAAAGTTTTTAAACTTTGATAAAAATAGCCTCAAACCCCCCACGTTAGAAGCCCGTCTAAACGAAAACGCAACACACTGCTCTAGGTTTCTCTGTATGCGGCAACATAGATGTTTATATCGTTTTCATTAAAAAAAAACAATTAGCTTCAAATGTAGACGGAAATCTTTCTGAATTAGACTGGGTTCAAATGTGTGTGCCTTATAAAAAAAAATCTTATTTCAGCAAGTCCGTTCAAATATGTGTAAGAACCTAACCCGCAAGGTGAAGTTTTGTGAAATTATATATTTTTGATTTAGTGTTGAATGAACTTAATCTACATGTAGATGGAAGATTGTAGTAAAAGCTATAGGGGTGTTTGGAAGTGATACGGCATTACGACTTCTGTTTCTTTTTTGAAACAGAATCAGTGTTTAGAAGCTGGTCTCCCCATTCTCTATAAAAACTGATTATAGGAGTAAATTAGACCACCAGAATTATTTTTGCACTTTTACCCAAACACTCAAACTTCTACTTCTGTTTTACGAATCACATCACTAACGTAATGTAATCTAATCTATAAGTGTGAAACCTATAATAGTTCCTCGTCTCTAATCTAACGTAATCTTGCGTCAGTGATTTTAAGTTGATTTGATTAGCAAACCCATTTTAGTAGATTAAAATAATAGTACGTCTTCTTGTATAAACTAATGTTTGTTTCAAATTTTTATACTTCGTATAATCGATTTTGGAATATGATCTACCATGTGTGTGTGCTGCAACATTAGTAAATTTGTGAGGATTACTATATACTACCTCCGTTTTTTTTAATCTTCACAATTTGACTTCACACAAAATAAGGAAAGAAATTTGACTTTACTGTAGAGTACACTGTTGAGACACTGTTTGGCACTGTAGAGACACTGTTTGACACTGTTTGGCACTGTTTGGATGTAGATTTCTTTTCCAAAAAATGAAAAAAAAAGGAAGTGTGAAGTTTATTTTAGACCGTCCCAAAAAGGAAAGTGTGAAGTTTATTAAAAACCGGAGAGAGTAATATTTATGTCTGATTATTCCAAATGAGCATGTTATCAAGGTTGTTAAAATCTCGATTTAAATCGTAAAATCGTACGATTTTACGATTCTACAATAATAAATCGATTCAAATCGCAGGTAAAAACGTAAAATCATAAAATCGTACAAAATCGTAACAAAATCGTACAAAAATCGTGTAGAATCGTATAAAATCGTAGCAAAATCGGAATAAGTTTTTTTTAGTGAAAATGGTTCAAATTTATTAAAATTAACTACTACAAATTGATACAAAATTTCAATAATAATAACATCAATAGTATATTTAAAAAAGTAATGGATTCTTGTGTTATTTAATTATTTTTACGTTTTACATATGTTTAATGTTGTTATTCACTCTATTTACAATATAAAAATAGTTTATAAATCTTGGTTTTGACCTTGTAGGTATAGTGGTATGTAATAAAATGACATAATACCATTAACTTGCAACTTAATTTTAATATTTATTTTTTTATAATTATTAAAATATGTTTGATAAAATCTTACGATTTGCGATTCGATTTTACGATTCGATTTTCAAAAACATCTACCGATTCGATTCAAAAATACGATTTTAACAACCTTGCATGTTATAGTTAAAGTGTTATTCGCATTTCGCACATACTACTTATATACTCATTAATTCATTATACATAATGCAAAAACTATTGACCGTACCTTTCTTAGCCATTGTAAAAGAAAATCATATTCATAACTTGAGTTGTGTTCGGTAAGCAGGGCCGGCCCAGGGTAAAGGTAGCCAGCCCAACTGCTTCGGGCCGAAAATCTTGGAGGGCCCAAAATATAAAATACCAGTAGTATACTCCAGCCCAATCTTAGCATTCTAACTCCTAACACGCCCAAGAAACCCTAGTTAGTTAAATACGGTACGGGAATTAAACGAGATTTAATACGTACGCGTTTTATTCGGTAACATGAATGAAAAAGACGGTCAAAAATTCGTTGAAAAAAACGTTGACTTTTAAAAAACATGTAAATACGTATACGTGTATAATACGTTATCTACTACAAAAATTCGGACGAAAAATACGGATATAATTTTGAACATCTAAATGATATATTTCATAAAATAACATATATAGTAAAAAAGAAATAAAAGTATACACATATTCAAGTAGCAAATCTCATTACTACATACTAGAATAGTTCATAATTGCATAAGTCGATGAGAAAAATAAAAACAGTAATCAGGTCTAGGACATAATTTTGAAAAATAATGTCAAAAAATCATTATCTTTATATGATCATCAAATAATAATACTCAAGTTAAACTCATCATTTTCATTAAGATGACATATGACAAAAGTTGTGTGATTGCTACACTTATTATTGTCTGTGTAAAAGCTTATGCTAAAAAAATGTTAGGTTTAAAAAAATCTTAATTTTGATATGCTAGCTTAAAAAAAACATCAGAAATCTTGTAGTATATTACTACGTAAGTTTTAGTATTTCAGGATGCTAGCTTTAGCCATCATGCAATTAATTTTAGTATTTATTAATTGCACTGTAACAATACAAAAACACGAGATCATAGGGTGAACGTTTTCATTTTTACTTTTACGCTATTGTTGATCTTCTATCCATTTAGTGCATTCATTCAATCGGTCAATTCATGTTTATGTTTTTTGTAAAATACGGGAAAAATACGTTTTATACGGGAAGTAGGAGTTTTTTTCCTTTTTAAACGGACCGACATTTCCCCCTTTTTAAACATGTTTTTTTGGTTAAAAAAAAACGGAACGTGTTTAAAACGGAAAAAAGCTAAATAGGCAAAACCTCCGCTCTCTCTGTCCGCTAGTTTGGAAACACAGACACTGGACTGACAAACTAACGAAGCGACGAAGAACTGAAGGAGGACCGACGAGGACGACGACTCGCCTGACTCACTGACGACCGCCGCCGCCCATCACGAGTGCCAGACCGCCGCTCCGCCACAGGTCCGCAACTCCACAGCATTGGCAGTAACTCAGTAAGAAGCTCACTCACTCAGGCTTAACACATCTATGATTTTCAGATTTCTAATTTGTTTAATTCCGAATTAATGAAACTGATTTCATGTTGATTATTGGTTGAATTGTTGCATTGTTGTTGTTTATTTATTTTTTCAGTTAAAGTAAATGATTAATTGGATTGATAATAAATATGTTTAACACTTAAGATTTAAGAAATTGTTATAGATATATATATTTAGGTAACTTGAGGTTCATAAATTATATTGTACTATATACTCTTTTATGATTTCATCCTAAGTTAATACTGAATTTTAATTTAAAATTTATAAACATGTACAATATTAGAGGAAAATTTCAATAACTGGTAGTAATTATGCTTTAAATAAATACCCATTCGGTCATGAGAAGCGTCAAAAGAAAAGAAGACTTGACAAGTTAACCTTGTCTAAAAAAGAAGCTCAAAGAATGTCTCATTTTAAATAAAATGTATTTTATTAATGACTTCTTTTATTTTTATTGTTCATTAGTAACTTGTATTTTAACACAATTTACTTGTATTGGAACTTGGAAAAAGGCCCAAATTTTGTTGTTGCACAAGGTCTCCATTTTCTCAGTACCGGCCCTGTCAATAAGAGTGTATATATGTGTACTTAGAAGAGAAAATTACCTCATATGTGACTAAAAGTACCAACTTTTCCATATAGGGATGCTATGTTTTAAAACCTTCTATAGTCATATGGTAGTAAAAAAACATATCAAGTCATACCTTCGAATTTTAATGAGAAATTTACCTCACATGTGATTAAAAGCTGTAATCTTTTTCGTAATATTAACACAACAAAAGTTCTTGGAGAGAAAGGTACTTCAACCATTCTCAGGCCGGCCTCTAGGATCAGAAATGCTATAAAATCAAATCAGATGGGATGAATTTTGGACGGGGCTGTCAATAGATTTTGTATGGTAACTTTTTCGAATAAGGAAAAAAATAAAGAATGTGTTAAAGAGACGAATGTTGATTAAAACTTGGAAATTAGATGATCATCCCCAACCAAACAGAAAATGTGATACTACGTATGGAGTATTTCTGTTTCTTTGAACATTAATATTAATATTAAAATTAATACCTTAACAGTTGGTAGATCCATATTACTCTCCCATATTATTCCTTGGCTAGATCCCATATTACATCCCCAACCAAAAGTGTTCATACCTCATTTACAAAATATCAGGGATATCTACAAATTAGTCGGAAATTAGTCAAATTACAAACCATTGATGAATTGATTCCGAACAAGTGTAGTATCTGGCTTGATCATATCTTGTTGTATGTTATTTCAAAAGCTTTTTATATCTTGTTGGAAATACCTTTTTGAGGTTTTAAAACTCATATTTGGACTTTATTTACAATGTACTCCGTATTAAAGATTATGTACGTATTAACCTTAAATTAATAAACATTGTCTAGTTCACTCCGAACTCGTAAATAAATATTTTAAAACATTAAACTATAGTAGTATAGTTATGGTTGTTGCTACAAAGTATTTAAAAGTGTATTGAAAAGTTAAAAAGTTATAAAACTCATTTTCTGTTCGATGCTTCCTTTTATGTTAACAATATTGAATTTTAGAATAAAAATAATATGGAAGCATTGAACATGAAATGAATTAAGTTGAGCCCCTGCAATCCGGATGGTAAGCCCACCCAGCAGCCCATGCCCAGCACTCGCTACTCGCTAGCAGCCTCACTCCCTTATTTCCCAGCTTTTGGGCGGGTGTTTCCATGGGCCTTGGGCCCTGGAGCCCATCTTACCTTCTACCCAACTGTGGCAGAGTGACAGCCCAACTTCCTAAGTCCTGCACTCCTGCTTGCCGCTAAACACTCAGACCAGTCAGGCAGAAGCAAGCACGGGAACGAAGTTACCCTCTGGACAAGTGCAAATCTGCAACGGCAAGTCGGCAACGGACTGACGGTCCGACGGAGCAACCCAAGTACCCAACGACGACGGACGGAGAGTCGGCGACCACCCCATCGGCCCTTCTTCCGACTTTCGACTTAATCTCCCATTCTCCGCCTCCCCGTAAGTTGTAAGCGGCTTAAGGATTATTTTTCTTCTCATTAGCTAAATTGTTAAATTTCTGTGCAATTCTATTCTCACAATTTCATTTAATAATTTGTTCATTGTATTGTAATTGTGGATTGTTGATTTAATTAAATTGTTAAAATGTTTTTTACAATTATATTGATATTACTTCGATTGTAGTTTTTCTAAGTTGTTTGACAAGCAATACCTATGTATTGAATAGTTTAATTTCTTCATCAGATAATAACATTCCTAACATTGAAAATAACTTTAAAAAGTCTCGAGTAGAAGTTAAATTGTCGGATGATGACATTGTTGTTAATTTTTTAGATGAAGACATTATGAATTTATGAGGCGATTTCAGAGTGGTGCCTCGAAGACAAAGATTGCCACATCTCAATTGTCCTCCTTCATTTGACACATCGGTTTCTAATCAAAATTAAAATATCCTTTAATCACTTGCTTTTTTAAATTTTATTAGCATTGGTTTATTAGTAATACATTCATGATAGATTAATTTATATGCTAATGTGCCTCTCCAAGTCACCTTTCAAACCCTTTCCCATATAAATGGCTCTCTCAGCGGACAAACAATGTACTTGGGTTGTGAAGGAAAGAAAGGGGAACATATTTCATTTGTTCAAAATTTATTTTCTAAAAAAGTAGTTATTGGGTCGAGCATGATGTTCTTCATCTGGATTGAAGCCCAATGTCATACGGAGTATTACATATATAAGTTTGGAGTACTTACCTTGTCAAACTTTGAGTACGCCCAGAAATTGTTACCACTTAACCAGTCGGTCAGTCTTACCACTCTGAGTCGTCTTTGGCTTTACATGTGACATAATTTTATCGATGTTTTTGCAACCCTAATCGTCCATCTTGTGTTTTTTGAATTCAAGATTGAAGATAGGCTATAATTGCACTAATAATAATAAGGAGTAATGAATAAGGGAGGGCTTGGAAGCAGTGGAGGAGGAGGCGGACCCACTGCCGCCGCCGCTGCAGCGGCTGCTCAGAAGCAGAAGAATCTGTTGCAGAGAGTCGATAACGACATCGGAAGCATAGTTGACAATTTCAGCTTCATTGTGAATGTTGCCCGGGTACTAGCTCTCTCACTCTCTTTTTTTCTCGCGTTCCCAAACGCAAAGTTTGCTTGAATTTTATCAATCTGTGTGTTGGAAATTTGAATGTAGTGCCATAATGATTGATGGATCTGCTCTGTATCCAAGTATTTTCGAATTGTTTTCTGTATTGAACCAAGTGAGATAAAATGGATCAGGGTGTTGGTTACTTCCTCATCCCAAAAGAGAAGCTCTTTTGTCCCAAAAAATAGTCGGATTTTGAAACAAGGAGCTCATTTCTAGGTAATTATTCAAAGAAATGTCATAAATTTGTAAAAAAAAAAAACTCAATATGGTAAGCTTGGGGGTCATTTAGTTCAAGGAATGTCATATTAGTAATGAATTGATTTTGAAAATATAAGTAGGTTTTCCATTACTCTTAGGGGTCATTTGGTTCAAGGGATGACAATATGTCATACTATTAGAGATTCTTTTATTAGATGTGATAGAATTACTTAGAAGCTGAAGTCAAGGTATGTGAATGTGGAGCTTCAAGGGGCTTATTTGTATATGATAATTATCATATATGTACATAATAGGTAAATGATCCACCAGTTAGGAATTCCCAAGAAGCTTTCATGATGGAGGTTCGAGCATCCAGAATGGTGAGACGTGTTTTCCTTTATGACTTCGATACACATTGATGGTGCTTTTATTGTCTCCTTTTTAAATTGCTATGTGAGTATGTGACTTTTGAAATCCCATCCATTATCAGTGCTCTTTAGGTTGGTATAAACATCCTGAGAAAAGTAGATTGCATGCATGTATCTCTTTGTGTGTATAAACACTATAACTAATTGTAATTTATCCATAATGTTGCTTTGTGTACAAGAGCACAGTGTACAAGATGATGTTGCTTTGTGTTACACCAACACATTTAATATGCCAAAAATACCCTAACCTTCATTGGTGTTTATAATATTTTAGATTTTAGATGTTAGGTTTAATATACTAAATCCCCTTGTGATATATAAATCCGGCGCATTATATCTCTGATTTAAAAAATGCATCAAACTCTTATGTGTTAATATTATGATTGAATAAGAAAGTAAACTTATCTATTAATTTTATTCATAGAAGGCTTTTAATTTGCCAAGAATAATTATGGAACTGTTAGAAATGAGACCAAAAGCGTATCATCTTCATTCACATATAGCGTATATATACAGGGGAGAATATGCAAGTGTTAGAAATGAGACCAAAAGCCTATGCTACTCAACACCAGAGATTCTATCATTATTATTTATGTGCACAACTTGTTTATAAATATAATTTGTGCTTCTAATATTTATTACCCTTAAAATATGATCAAATTTCTAATCTGTATGATTCTCTCAAGTATATACATGCTTCATGCATCTTATCCTTAAAATAGAATTAATATATAATTATATATCGGGCTTTATGCCACAAGTATATAAATGCTTCACGCATTGTATTATCCATTCTTAAGACAAAGACAATATATCTCTAAAATAATCACCAATCTAATGATCTCATACTTTGATAGAAATAATATAAATCACGCATCTAGGGATGCATATAGAGAGTCTAACAATTAGTTAAAGATACTCTTGTAGTAACATACAATTATTAAATAATCATATTTGTGTAAGAGTACCTTAAATAGTTGTCACCAACTATTCATTTGAGTGAATTTCTAAAATTTCTCCTAACATATAATAACATATTATCATTATTATACATCTCATTGTCTGAAAATTTATATAATTAATATTTATTTCAATAATTAAATACAAGCACAACCCTCAAATTGTATGTCTAATCTATGCTCTTATAGTGACTTCTGGCACATTGTTGTAATTTCATATTTTCATTTATGAATTTTTTTTCTTTTCTCCGCCTCAAATGGATTAATTTAAAATCAAATGGATCAATATACATAACAATACTTAACTATGTTTTGAATATAGCTGAAGCTTATACTAGTCAATTAACTTATCGATTAATATTCAACAACCAAGTTTATGAAATACACATGCATTCATGTAATCATATTATGTTCCAAGATCACCAAATTATAAATAGAAATATGTGGAACGTACCTGTAATCTCTAATACACATTTCTTAATGCTTACCTTAACTGAAGTTGCCTTTATAATAATTCAAATAGGCATTAGAAAGACAATGAAATGTTACCTTAACTCATGTAATATGAAGCTTCCGCCCCCAATTTTACAATTCATTCTTTGCCGCCTCCCCCTCACTTCCAAATATTGATTTCCTGTCTCCACCATCCACTCAGTCAGTCTTTACATAACTCTCAATACAAACATAAATATTAATCATTTAAAGGCTTATAGGTTCAATCTTGAAAGTAACGGGATCAAAAAGATAACTTAGAAGTTGGAACGATAGGGGTTTAGAGGAGAAGTTATGTCCACTTCAGGGGCTTGTTTATACACCTATCTATCTATATACGGAGTACAAAGCAAGGTGGAAAAGAAGCCAATATTCCACAAAAGATACGGGTAAAAAATAATGGGTCGGATCTGTTGAATATTTTCAACCTTTCTGTTATGTGGGCCAGGTCATTAAAAATTGCTTTGATCTGTCAGACAGTGTTGTCCATTTCAACTGCACCTTTGAGATGATATTTGCGTGCTATACCATTCAATTCAGCATATAAATATCTCACACGATCTCTTCCGCAAATAACATCATCTGCTTACTGTTAGGCCATCTCACCTTTGAAACAGTATTAGAACACGCCTTTGTGTTAGCCAGTGATGCCAATGATAGTTCTGTTAATGCTAACAGTGTAACAAACGGTGATAAAGATTACCTATTTACCAGAAAAACGGAGTTGCTCACCCTTGGATAAAAACCAGAAACATGCCGTTCGAACGGTTGTCCAGGCCTAAATCAGTCCACGGAGGCCATAGGGCTCGCTACTTGATAAACCACTGATAATCCCTAGCTCAGAACAGTATGAAATTAATAAGAGAAATGGAAGAACAGATCGAAATGCTTTATTCACCAACTGAACAGATCACAGGGATACAATGCTCAGGGACCATTCGAGATGCCCAGTAAGCAAGCTTTGTGTTTTGGGGGTCATGCTTTCCATTTGTTGGTTAGGGGTTAGTGTTGAACTGTTGATTTGCTGGGCTTCCTCTTATCTCATGTTTGGGAGTCCGCTGAGGTGTTCTGGGTTCCCTCTTCTGGTTAGTCCCCAGTGTTCGGCTCGCAACACTTCCATGGCGAAAGTTTCTGGCGCCGGCAGCAGGGTGGTTGTAATTGGCCGGGCGCTGGGGTTGGAAGAGGAAAACCAATGTTTGGTTCTCGCTTGGGTCTGCCATGGGGTGCTGGGTGTTTATTGGTGGAGGTGATGTTTGAGATACGGTGGTTGATTTTTTCTTGCCAGCAGTTAGCTGCTGGAATTGCTGGTCAACGCCGGGTCTGACGGTGGACTGGGAAAAGATGAAAGTACCGATGATGGACAAGCGGTCCATTCTTACCTCCCACACGTGTATTTTGTGGGCCCGTTAATGGATGCAGCACCTCTGGCTGAAAGGGACTTAGGGCTCCTAACGATAGCGGGTCATAGGGAGCTGGGCAGGTTGCTTTTCTTGCAGGCTGGACCTGTTACTATGGTGGGCCTTCATGGTACTCTGCTTGCGCTGGAGGCAGAGACGCGTGTAGGAACCCTTTGATTGGCCTGCAATTTTGGGTTCCGTTGCTGCTTTGAAACCTGGGATATGGAACACTGCTTTTCAAGTGGACTTGCAAGGGCGTTAGTGCTGGACTACGACCTTTTTTGCTGATTTTTGGAGAAGTGAATTTTGGTGTTAGGCCGGGTAACGGGCCTTGATTGCCTCAGCCCCTGGCTCTAATTTTTGATGTATTGCATTTTGGGTTTTTGATGGATTGAGCTGTAACAGGTTATGTATGCTCTTCCAAGAAGCTCGAAGGTGCTGGATCCTGAAAAATTCAAAGAATTCAAGCACTGAAGCGTACTCATCTGAGCCAGTGTGGCGAAGTTTAGGTTTGGACTTCCAACTCCCACTTCTGTTTTGGGCAACACATTAGTTGCAGGGGTAGAGACAGTCAAGGTGAAGAGGTTAATAAACCATACACTCCAATAAGGACCTATACTTTCATTCTATGAATAAAAATAATTACCGTTCTATACTGTAGGATAATGTATAAATTAAGATAACAACTACAAGTATTTATGATAATACGTTTTGATTATAATATAGACTACCGTCCTTTTACTATCAACATTATGATTTCCTAATTTATAAATTCTTAATATTTATTACACTTTCTTTCAATGCATTTACACATTCCATTGTTTCAAAACTGTCATGTATTATTATTTTAAGCAAATAATAATACATAGTACATAGTTTCTTACTAAAAAAATTCCTGGTGAGAATTTAGTTCTTCCAAGATCGAGGTTTTTTTGCATAGTTGAAGTTTTGTGGCACAATATAAACCCTGCTTGGTTCTAGTGGATTTTCTTCTTTGTTTTTCAAATAAACATGTGGTTGTTCTAGATCTTTTCAATGAACAAATATGTATGACTACACAGGTTCAGGCAGCTGACTCGTTGCTAAAGTTGGTTTCGGAGTTGAAACAAACGGCCATCTTTTCTGGATTTGCTTCCTTAAACGACCATGTGGAGCAAAGAACTGAAGAATTCAACCAACTTGCCGAGAAGACGGACCGGGTATTAGCCGGGATTGGAGAGGAGGCTGCTGCTACCCTTAAAGAACTCGAATCCCATTATTACTCTTCTGCCCTGAGAAGTAATTGTATGCTTCCCTGTGATGATAACCATGAATCAAATGGTTGAACATCCAAGCATGATTGCTTACTTTACAAGCTTTATTTTTCATGGAAATAATTAATTTTGGTTATTTTATATAGAAACCTAATCTCCTCGTTGAACGGCCAATTGGCTTCAGGATTGTAACGGCCAGTCTTGGTTGACCGGATGAACCCATCAAGACTTAATTACTCCCTCCGTCCTAAAAAAATTCTTCCAACTTTGAGTTGGATTGCATATTAAGAAAAAGATGGTTGTAGAAATGTATGGTTGTAGTTGTGTAAGAAAAAGATTAAATTAGGGCTGGGACTTTGGAACCAAGAACCGGAGAACCGAACCGGACCGAATCGTTATGACCTGGTTCGGTTCGGTTCCAACATTTATTAGTTATTTGTTAACGGTTCGGTTCCTAATTTTTATCAACGGTTCGGTTCTTGGTTCCTGAAAAAAATATGTACCAGGAACCGTTAAGGAATCGTTATATATAATAATTAAAATTAAATATATATTTTATGAATATATATATTGTAATGTAGATTTACTTATTTATTTTTATATTATATTCATTATTTTAGTGTAGTTATTTAACTATTTAAAACTATTATTCATTTCAACCTGTTCTATTAGGCTTTTTAGGCCTCTCATTAGGTCCAAACTCCAGTTGGTCGGAACTCAGAAGGTCCAGAGTATTTAAAATAAACTTATTCTCTTTAACTAGTTCAGCATATATGTATTATGATTTCAAACGTTGAATGTCTTATTGACAAAAATTTAGTCGTGATTTGTAAGAATTTTTTCAAAGACTAGGAAGCGTTAAATGACAAGAACCGAACCGTTAAGAACGGTTCGGTTCCTTATCGGTTCTATAAAATAATTTATAAGAACCGAACCGTTAGTAAAATTTCATATTTTCAAACGGTTTCACATATTTTGCCTAGGAACCGAACCGGTCTCAGGCCTAGATTAAATGAATGTGAGCCACACAAATAATAAAAAAGGTGAAGTTGGAAGAATTTTTTGGGACATCTCAAAAAGGAAAGTTAGAAGAATTTTCTGGGACGGAGGGAGTATTTTAAAAGGGCATATCACAATGAAACGAATACATGGGAAAACATAAAAATATGAGGTTTGTAGGCTTGTAGCCATATGAAGCACAAATCCACGGAGTAGCACAAATTACTCAGATAAACATAGTGACAACTGGAAGACACAGATAAAGGGGAGTATTTGTTTTATAATTATGCCATTTGATTATGGAAAAGCTATGCAGTATGCATCATGGGACACTCCATTAAAGCTTGAGGTCCATGAGGGCGTGGCTAAGAAGGAACAGAAAGCAGTGTGCAGATCAAGTCTTGATATTTGAAAAAACATGTCATGTGTGATTCATGACAATTTGGTACTTAGTAATATACTAAGAGAATCTTCAAATGCAGGAATGTGCATGCAAATAAATCCTGAAATTCATGAAAAATAATTCCAATTAACGGTGTGAAAGTGACAACAAAAATGCCTATGCCTTGCAGATATTGTCAAAGGTAATATTTGATGTGGCCATGTGGGAAAAACAAAAACAAATGCCAGAATAAGACTGCTTAGGTAGTGTTAAGACAGAGTGCAATGCCTAACTACCAGAAATCAGCTAATAAGACCTCGTCTCCCACAAGATGAGTTTTCTTTTCCTGATAAGTTACGTTATTAGTCAATTTAATCGTTAGGGAAAATATCGGACTGGGCTTTAGGAAATCAAATGCATCTCAAATCACCAACAATAATAAAAAGTATAAATCAGGGATATACTGAAGTATGGAGACAATGATCTACGCATAACAAGTTTACTAGTACTTCTATTGAACATGTTACTAATTCAAATAAATAATCCAATCTAGAACTGTACAAAGTTAAAAACAAGAAATTTATGTTTTTAATCTAACATTCTAAAAATATAACTGTTTAAACAAAATTGAATACTACGTATATTATTAGGCAACACAATTGTGGTTTGAAGTACACAAATCAATTCGGAAGGAAACATGTCATTTACTCATTCATCGGGAGACATTAACTTATAATTAGTGTCAATCATAGTATATGACAATAAAATAAAAATTAATTACGCTAAACAGGAGTAAAACATGACTAAAATAATGAATTCCCCCTGGTTCCCACCCATCATAACCAGGTAGTCCGATGGCGGCGGCCGGGTGTGGCCACTGGTAGTTTTGTATGACGCCCACCGGCGGAAACTGGATGTGGTCACCGATCTAGCAATTAGCGGCCGCAACCCGGTGACCAAACTCGAACCACGAGGGTTTTTGTCCCATCACAAATAATTACTTACATTTTAGGAATTAAAAAAATACTCGTAACTTTTATTTTTACACTTTAATTATGTTTTACTCCTGTGTGACAATATTCAACACAAAAAAGAAAGAAAGGGTCACATAGTAGCACACAAAAAGTACTAAACATTGTATGGAGTTTAATGCACCAAACTCACTCATGAAATATAAATTAAATTTGACGCATTAACTCCATGTGATTTAAGAAAAAACGACAAACTCTCTTGTGTTATAGTTATTCATGCACAAAAACTCCTTTAATGAACAAATTCATATCAATTTCCAAATAAATGAAAAAGAAAAACATAAATGTCTTGTTTTTGATCAATTTCCTTGCATGTATTAATCAATTTTCTTTTTAATCATTTTCCTTGCAAAAAAAGAAAAACATAAAATTTAGTCAAAAGAGAATATATATGAGTAGCGTATAATTATCTTGACAAGGTTACTTGCATATTCAATCATATTTTTAAGAAAAATGATTTTAAAATTGTAAATTTGTTGTTAGAGGGGGTTTTGTGCATCAGTAACAATAACACAAGAGAGTTGGACACATTTTTTTAAATCATATGAACTAATTTGGCTGATAAGGGGGCATCCTTTCAAGCTGATGGCCAGAGAAAGGGTACCACCACAAGGCTTTATACGGGGGCAAGCCCCCTGTCAAGAGGCTGCTCCAAGGTTTGAACACAACAAACCATAATTGGCGTGCAAAGACTCCCATTTAATTTGGACAATCCAAATGAACGAATTGGCGTGACTCTCATCATCTTTTTCTTCTATTTGCTGATGATGCGACAGACAGAAGCCTTTCTCCGGTGCAACAACGGCTCTTAACCGTTCCGGCAGTGCAACGGTGGAACCATTGAACTACACTTGCTTCTGGATAGATTTGTGAGACAAAGTACCTTCTGCCCACCCTACGTTCTCTACTTTGGAGAGTGGGCTCAAGAGAGGGGTGTACCCTAGAAGTCATAGACGAAGCTTTTATTGGTATTTTCTTAGTGTTGGGAGAAGAGGGCAACCGGGTGTCTTACAGAAAGGGAAAGCGGAAGCATCAAAGGTGTCCTCGCATGTAGGGGCAATTTATAAGGGTGTATTTGTTTTTTAACTGTTCAGCACATCATTGGGTTCTTTTTGAGAAGGTTGTCCATGAAGTTGCTTGGGATTATTCATGTGATTTTTTCCAATGTTATAAGCACCTGGTGCTTACAAGAACAATTTCTCTTCCTTTATATTTATCTTTTTCATCAACAGAAATTATCCGAGCCTCCTAGGATCCCAAAGGGTTCAATTAAATTGGTTGTACCAATTCTGTCTTTTTACTCTTCAATGTGAACTTGTGACACCACACCCTGATTTATTTTGCTGATTGATTAAAGGCTTCAACTGAGATTCTTAATGAATTATTTAGGAGGGAAATTTTATGAAGCCCTATATGACTCCACTATGGAGTCATATAGCATATGTGGCACCATCACATTCATTCACTCATGAAGTAGGGTCCTCCACTATAAATCCACTATAGAATTGAATGGTTGTGATAATGCCACATATGTTATATGACTCCATAGTGGAGCCATATAGGGTTCCATAAAATTTTTGTTATTTAGGATGCATTATGGTGCATCTTTGATGACCAATCATTATATTTGTATTTTAATGACTTTTTAGAATTCAGTATATGGGTCAGAAATTGGTGAAGAATTTATGATCGATGAACGTCTTGATGTGAGTAGTTCTTTTCTTTGTGTATTTAATTACTTATTAGGCTGATTGCAATGCAAGGGGTGAAAACCCTAAATATGAAGTTTTCACCCCAAAACAGCTCCAACGCGGATGTATTTTAGTATATAGAGGTCTCATCCCCAATACAGAAAACTGAGGGGAGGGGTATCTATGCGGCACATTGACTCTTCCATAGAAAGAGATTCACAGGTGGGCCACCATCCAAGTTAGTGGCCTGACATTTGCAGAAGTAAAAAATTGGTCAAGCTATGGGTTTTGTGCGTGGGATAATTGGGATTGAAGCTGGCTGCATGTTTGGAAAATAATTCACATTTTATATTTTTTTGCATTTGTAATACTTACAAAAAATTTAATTCACATTTTTTATTTTTTTTGCATCGGAATGTTTGAGTTTTAAAACAATAATTATTGGTCAAAACAAAATTAACACATAAATGATGTGTAATAAAATAACTAAGGATTTAATTAAAAAAATGTGCTGAGTGAATATATTGACGGTGTTGGGTTGCAGAAAAAAACTGAATTGACTGAGTGAATACGTATAAACAGAAGGGAGATTAGATTTATTGACCGGCTGGGTTGCGGTCAGCCTTAGAGATTAGCGATTCTGTTTCATTAAAATATACATTTGTGCAGGCTCCTACCCTCAAGTCTTTTGCCTATAATGTATTAAAAGATGAAGCAGCTGTTAAGCATTTAGAAGCACTTCTAAAAACCCTTTATGATAACTCACAACATACTTTAAGGAGGGTAGAATGTGACACCTCAAAAAAATTTAAAATAAAACAAATAATTTAATTAGTCAAATAAAATGGTACGACATTGACATTTTAATAATTAAGTGAAACGGATGTCTTTTATCGTTTGCGATATTTTTGGTTGATAAAGGTGTTTCGATAATAGAAGTGACATTTTATTATGAAAGTAACGTTTTGTAACACGTGATACTAATATATGTGAGATGAAATTATAAAAGTAACATTTAATACTATTGATGTTATAAGACTTGGACATAAAGTAATATTTAACGAAATTTTGTATAAAATATACACGTACACTATACTCGTATATGGTACAACAATAGCATATGAGTACATTTTAGACTTTTGACTATTCAAACATGAACCCATTAATATTATATCCACCGAGGGAGTACATAATAATAGGGAAAA